AGAGAAGGCCCTCCCCAGAGGAGCTGCCAGACGACATTGTCTAGTCGACGGCACCCGGAGAAGACCTGTGAGATCTTATCGGACGCTGAGAGGTATGTGGCAGAAGACGGTCCCTTAGATATCCAGGCCCCAAGCCATGTAGGGCTTTAAAGGTAATAGCCAGCACCTTGAAGCGCGTTCGGAGACCGATCGGGAGTCAGTGCAGCTCGCGGAGGATGGGTGTAACATGGGTGTATCTCGGTACACCCAAAATCGCTCGCGCGTGGTCATGTTGAGGACCTATATAGTAGTGCAGGTTTTTAAGGAACAGAAGGGGGAGGGAAAACATGGGTCCTTTTCAAGGTCATAAGCTCCTCCTCCTTCGCGGTAGAAAAATTTCTTATGCCTTTCCCCGAAAATATTCACGCATCTTTTTTTCATGGTTATTGGTAACGTTTTCCATTCCAGGGGAAACAATCATCCATGGTGGGGGAAAAATGGTGGAAAAATCGGTGCGGTGGGATGGGGTTCACTTAGATTTACCACCAGTTCGCCAATGTGAGCACCTCCGTGCACAGGCTTGCTTCGTGCGCAGATGCACCTTCCATGCATGCGCGCTGCCTTCTGCACATGCTCTTTGCTCACGCCCGTGATGTGCACCAGTGGTGGGATTCAGCCAGTTCGCACCTAGTCAGGAGAACCGGTTGTTAACTTTCTAAGCAGTTCAGAGAACCAGTTGTTGGAAGAAATCTCTTTTTTTCCCCACTTTCCAGGGCTAATCCTGTAAGGAAGGCAGGAAGGAAACATTCTGGTGTTGTTTCTAGCCTCATCTTCATTGCCCTGTTTACAGAAACTGCCTCTCTGGTTAATCCTTATGACATTGTAACATCTAAGGCGAAGCACCCATCGACAGGAGTGACGTTGAGTTGGCCATGCCCATCCAGTCACATGATGATGGGGCCCCCTTACACAGCTGGTCATTAGGGTAGAGAACCAGTTGTTAATTATTTGAATCCCACCACTGATGTGCACGCGTGCGCTGCGGCATTGAAAACGAGGCTACATAGCAGAGGTGGGTTCCTACCAGTTCGAACCAGTTCGGTAGAACCGGTTCGTCAAATCTACCGAACCGGTTAGAAGAGGTTCCACCAGTAGACCCGGAAAGCAGGCCACACCTACAGAAGAGGTCCCAAAATTTTTTAAAACCCCCCACTGACACACACACACACACACACACACACACACACACACACACACACACACACACNAGGAAAAAGGACGCTGTGCTAGGAGGAGACTCTATGGTGGGGGAACCGGACCTCTGGTCAGCAGAGGAAAAAGGACGCTGTGCTAGGAGGAGACTCTATGGTGGGGGAACCGGACCTCTGGTCAGCAGAGGAAAAAGGACGCTGTGCTAGGAGGAGACTCTATGGTGGGGGAACCGGACCTCTGGTCAGCAGAGGAAAAAGGACGCTGTGCTAGGAGGAGACTCTATGGTGGGGGAACCGGACCTCTGGTCAGCAGAGGAAAAAGGACGCTGCGCTAGACTCTATGGAGGAGACTCTATGGTGGAGGAACCAGACTTCTGGTCGGCTCCAGAATTGAACGGGGGGTTTCCGGTTAGGACCTTTGTGGCTGTTTGACTGTTTAAGATTGATGACCCCTGTGCTAAGGCAACGAATCGTAGGAATGGAGAGTTACAATGGAGCAATAAGGACGGGAAAAGTCCATGTAGCCCAGCATGTTTTTATGGCTAATGATCTGCCCTAGATGGTAATGCCAGGTGGCAACTAAAGGAGGCCTTCAAAACCACGGGCATCTTTCCAAAAGCCCACACCTTCCTGAACAGTGACAAGAGCATCTTGGATAAGGGTGCATCCATGAAGAACCCGAGACAACTAAAACTTGGAGGCGAGACTTGAAGATGACCAAAACTCGGTGATCAATGGCAAACATTGGGCTGCCAATGGTTGAGGATGGCCAATCCAAAGGCAATGAACTTGTAACGGCGTGCATGTAGGGAACTGGTCTGATGGGCATTGGGGAGCCACGTGGACGCCTCACGTCACCTCCAGGGAAGCTGGCGAGACCCGGTCACACTCGGCTCGTGAACGGAGGCTGTGCCACTGCTCGATGGCGGTACGGTGGGAAGTGAGCATCCGCCGCCAGTGCTTGGATTCCGAGGAACCAGTTGAATACTGGCCGATGACAATTCTCCCGATGAAGTCGTTGCTGCTTTTCACGTTGTGGCCGTAGACTGGAAGGTGGAGGAGAGGGAGAGAGAGGGGGAGAGGATTGAAAGTTGACAACACAACACAAAGCAATCCAAACTCAACAGGACAGTATCCCTGGTGCCTCTAAAGCAGGGGTGTCAAACTCAAGGGCTGGGGGCCCACAGGGTGTTCTGACCCAGGCTTCCTTCAAAAGCATGAAGCAGAGTCTGGGTCCTGGCAAAACCTCTTTTATTTACACGACTGGGAATTCCTTTCATTCACTGTCAGCAAGGCTTAGCAAACAGCCTTTCAGAGGAATATTTATCCACACGGACCTTATCTCACTTGGAGAGCTGCCAGATAACTAGTTTCCAAATGCAGGGCAAGGCAAAACTTGGCACAGAGTCTCTTATAGTCACAAACATAACTTTCCACTCTTGAAACGACCGAAGGAACAAATTGTTTCCTGCAAAAGCCCCCTCCCCGTTTGCTCCTCTTTTGTTTCCTATGGGAGGGGCCAATCACCTCCAAGGTGTGGCTCTACTCCTACGTCCACCCTGCTTCCTTAGTTGTTCTTGTCTTCTGGCAGCTCTGCCCATGCGCCCACTGGGAACAGGCTCCAGCTGTTCCTCTGCCTCGCTGCTGTCTAGCTCTCTCTGCCTCTGATGCAGAGCCCTCGTCTGAGCTTTCCTCAGCCCTGAGAACTGGCCCATGTTCCTCTTCCAACTTCCTCACTGTCCGACTCTGCTGCCAGCTCTGCTGGCCACTGGCGGGCCACAACACGGGGTGTTTAGAATCTGGCCCGCGGGACAGCCCTGGAAACAGCGAAGGACCGGCCCATGGTGCTTATGCCAGCGAAAACGGAGCTCAGGATAAACCATAAACCTTTCCAGGCGTGTTCATT